GGGGAGTGAGGCTGGGGGGGCAGCAGCCTATAGATTAGGAGAGTGAGGGGGGCATCCTATAGATTAGGGGATTGAGGCTGGGGGGCAGCAGCCTGTAGATTAGGGGAGTGAGGCATGGGGGGGCAGCCTATAGATTAGGGAAGTGAGCATAGGCGTGCGCAGCCTATTGCATTAGGGTGTGCACCCTAAAGCACAAACACACGCCATGTGTATATGTATTTATGTGTGTATATATATATATATATATATATATATATATATATATACACACTGCTGTGTGTGTGTGAGGGTGCTGTTTGTGTGCTGTGTGTGAGGGAACTGGTAGTGTGCTGTGTGTGTGTGAGAGGGTGTTTGTTCGGGTCCTGTTAGTATGCTGTTTGTGTGCTGTGTGTGGGTGTTGTGTGTTTGTCAGGGTGCTGTTTGTGTGTGAGTTTGCTGTTTGTGTGTGGGTGCTGTGCGGGTGTTGTGTGTGGGTTTTGTGTGTTTGTGAGGATGCTGTTAGTGTGCTGGGTGCTGTATGTGTGTGGGTGCTGTGTGTGCGAGGGTGATGTATGTGTGTGGGTGCTGTTTGTGGGCTGTGTGTGCTGTGTGTAGGTGCTCTGTGTGTGTGTGTGCTGTATGTTTGGGTGGAGGTGGGGCAGATTAGTTAATATCCCAGTCCTGCTGCCTTCCCTGGTGGTTCAGTGGAGAGTGAACTCTAGCCCGGGTTCTATGCTGCCTCCCTCCATGCTGCTGTGGACCGGTGAGGTAGAACTTTGATCTCCGCACTGGCCCATGGAGGCTTAGACCAGAGCCGCCGCTCGGATAGCGTCGGCTCTGCATGAGCCGACTGGGGAGATCCAGAGATCTCCCCTGCCGGTCTCAATCCATTTGCGTGCCGCGGGGATTAGGGTGTGCCCAGGCACACCCGACACACCCCTTGCGCACGCCTATGTAAGTGAGGGATGGGGGAGACAGCCTACATGAAGAGTCAGCAAGGAGCAAGAAGGTAAAGTAAGAAAAGGAGAAGGAACAGAAATGAGCAGGAAGGGACATCAAGGAGCAGAAAGGGGCAGCAAGGAGCTGGAAGGGACAGCAAGGAGCTGGAAGGGACAGCAAGGAGCACAAAAGGTAAAGTAGGAGAAGGAGCACAAAGGAACAGAAATGAACAGGAAGGGTCAGCAAGGAGCTGGAAGGTAAAGCAGCACAAAGGTAAAGTAGAAGGAGCAGAAAGGGTCAGAAATGAGCTGGAAGGGGCAGAAAGAGCACAAAGGTAAAATAGGAGAATGAGCAGGAAGGGCCTGCAAGGAGCAGGAAGGAGCACAAAGGTAAAGGAGCAGAAAGAATCAGAAGGAGCACAAAGGTAAAGTAGAAAAGGGAGCAAAAAGGGATCAGAAAGAGAAAGGAGCAGAAGGGTGCTACATAAGCAGAAAGTAGCAGAAAGGTAAAAGAGCAGAAGGGGCCAAGGATAGAAAACCGTGTCAGAAGAAAAAAAAAGACTGTCAAATGAAGGAGAGGAAAAGGAGATTGTAGCAGGAAGGAAAAATGAAGTGAACCCTCCACTTTATTCTGGACACCACATCATAAGGCTTTGGTACCTGGGCCAGGCAGGGAAAGGCTGGACCTTCTCATCTCCAAAGGTAAAATAATATTAGTATTAATGTGTTCACTTTTATTTACTGAGTGTCAGGAAGCACAGAATGCCGTTGGGTAGGGGTGTTGCTGATTGGCTAGAGCGGTCAGCTGGCACTCTAAGCCAATTAGTAGCTCCCCATTCATAAAAAAGTAGAAATATTTTATGAACCGGGAACTAGCGGTTGGCTTAGAGCGTCAACTGTCCACTCTAGCCAATCAGCGGCACCCATGCCTGACGTCAATCTGCACTTCCTGACACTCTGTTTCAGAAGCCAAATACCACTGAGCGACCTGTAGCTGGAGGAAGCCTTTGGGGTTAAACCATTTGAGAGCGATTTAACCCCTTAAAGGAAAGCGAGCACCCAGGGGCTTCCTGGCATCATAGCATTTTCATTTAGGTGAAGCTGTTATGGTGACCAGAATGGTCTTTTAATTTGCTTAAAGGAACACTTTAGTGTCAGGAATACAAACATATATTCCTGACACCATAGTTGTGAAAACGCTATTCACCCTGGCTTTATGTGATAATGGCTATGCCCCCCCCCCCTGGAAAAATTCCTGCGGACACCCATGCGTATATCTAGAGACAATTTGCACACAAAATATTAATCACAATTTATTTTTTCATTCAGATTGTTAGGTTGACATGTTGCAAAGTAAACATGTAGGGGTTATTCAATAAAGAGTGAATACAACGTTTCTATTTCAAATTGAAATTTGAAAAAACTGGAACTTTCAAAATGTTCCAATTTAGGCCACAATAGCCATACATAGCTGAACTGGAGAATTTTTCCAGTCTAACTATTTGAACCTAGAATTTAAAATGTATTTTGATTTCCCATTTCACACACTTGTCCCTTGAATTACTTTTAAAAGCTTAACCGCAAAACTGTGAAATGTTGTAAATTCACCAGGCACAGGTTAGACCAAATGATCTGAAACAGCAGAACATCACTGACTTTCACCCAAAGTCTTGACACATTGCATAATCATATGGTACACTAAACCATGTATTTTTTTTTGCAATGCATGAAGTAATACTCAGAGGCTCGGGGTACCCCAAAGGAAATGCTCAAGCAATACATATTGTAATACAATTGGGGCACTGGCTAGGGCTTGCACATTTTTATAATATAAACATCAGGTTCATTGTCACCGGGTAATTACAAACGTAGGGAGCTAAGCTGGATATGCATGCTGACTGCAGGAATATTCAATTATGATCAGTGTAATGGGAGTTATCCCATGATCATCGCCACAAAACCATTACAGGCTATACACAGTGATCATAAAAGTAGGTAAACTGATATGGCTTCAGATGGTATACTAGTAAATAGAGAAACAAAGAAAACCAAAGAAAACAAGAGACAGTTCTCACGGTGTGTGATCGGGCTTAAAGCAGGAGTTGGCTAACTAGTCAGTCCGCGCCAGTTCAGCCAATGCCCAGTTTGTAGGCTTTGAGTGCAGGGCTGGTAGGTACGTTGCTGAGTCTCCCCAGCTGCTCTTTAGTGTGCCGTGTGTCTGCGGCAGTCACACTGCGTGAACCGGAGGAGGCTCTCCATCTGCCCTGGGACCTTCCAGGAGCCAGTACCAGTGTCTCACGGACTTGTGGCCATCTTGGGGCCAAGTCCTTCCCCTGTGTGGGGTTGCGCAGGTTTGAGTGGTGTGTAGGGTTCGTGCCCCGTGCTGCTCCTTTCCCAGGTGGGCCAACAGGCTGGTAACGTGGTTCTGATGTGCGTTTTGCCCGGATAGGGCCTTCCCGGCTGTGCCTCGGCCTTGCGCCTTGCTGTGGGTTGAGCTCTGCCTGGCCGTCGTGCTTTGGGTGCTTTGATCTTGTTGCTGGCAAGTGCTGGTGTCAGCGGCTGTCGCTTGTTTTCCAGGCTTTCCCAAAATCGCCTGCAGATGACATCAAATTTTTTCTTGAAGGTCGCTGCCCATTCCTTGGGTGTCTGTTGTTCTGTATGATTAGTGGGGCCACCGGCCATCTTGGTCAGACCTCGCAGTGCTTTTCTGCCAGCTATGTGTCATGTAGAGGCTGGTGGTGAGTGTTCTCTTCGTGAGGGTAGACCGCGATGACCCCCGCCGGTCCAGGGGGGGGGGGGAACGAGGGCACTGGTATTTGGTCTGTTGTTGCTGCAGGAAAGCAGCCGTTTCTCCTGTGCCTGCCATGCTGGTAGGCCTCACGCTAGATGTCACCTCTCGATTGGTGGCCTGTCTGCCTTGGTTAATCGCCGTTTGGGCTGTAAAAGATTGCTTTATTCGCTGTATGCAGTGGGAGCTGCTGAGGTTTGCTTCCGTTCAGCTTGGCTGTCAGGCCCCGCCCCCTAAACTGTGTATTTTAATTAAGTATGCATTCATTAAAATGGGAATTTAGAGAAAGGAGAATGGAATTGTATAAGTTAGTCCAATGTGCCAGAGCTGGGAAAACAGATGAGTTAGAATGCATTTAGGAGTAAATTCTGAATAAACCATAGCAATACCCAACTTCAACATCAGGGCTACAATTACAAAGAAACTAGTCCTGCGCTCAAACTCCCATTACTCCTGGGCGGCAGCAATGACCATAGTACACATCAGCCAAAATACATATAGTATTTGGTTCATCAGGGCTACAATGCTTTAAGTTGGCCCTGCATACAGTGTGTGTGATGAATGCAGTGTGTGTAATGCATGTAATGTGTGTCTATAGATTTCTGGGGTAGGATAGGGCCTCCTTCTTTTTTTTTTTTTTTTTATTGAAAAAAAATAAACAGTATATGTTTTTTTACTTTATTCACCCCTCCATGCTTCTTATCTGTGGCGCTCAGATAGATAGATAGATAGATACATAGATAGATACATAGATAGATACATAGATAGAGATATAGATAGAGGATAGATAGATGGATAGATAGATAGATAGATAGATAGAGAGAGAGAGAGAGAGAGAGAGAGATAGAGAGAGAGAGATAGATAGATAGATAGATAGATAGATAGATAGATATATGGATGGATAGAGAGATAGATAGATAGATAGATAGATGGATGGATGGATGGATGGATAGAGAGATAGATAGATAGATAGATAGATAGATAGATAAAGAGAGAGAGAGAGAGAGAGAGAGAGAGAGAGAGAGAGAGATAGATAGATAGATAGATAGATAGATAGATAGATAGATAGATAGATAGATAGATAGAGATGGATGGATAGATAGATAGATGGATAGATTTTTTTACTTTATTCACCCCTCCATGCTTCTTATCTGTGGGGCATAGATAGATAGATAGATAGATAGAGAGATACATGGAGAGATACATAGAGAGATACATAGAGAGATAGAGAGATAGATAGATGGATAGATACATTGATAGATACATAGATAGAAGATAGAGAGAGAGAGATATAGATAGATAGATAGATAGATAGATAGATAGATAGACACAAAAATATAAAAATGGGCTGCACTCAAGGTCTTCTTCACAAAAGTTCCAGTTCTTTATTATATACCCATTGACAGATACATTCCACTAGACTTTGTGGCAAAACAGGAAAGGTTACAAAACTGGTCCCGAGCAAAGTCCACATGTGTGACTGAAACGTTGACCGATCTTTCCTGTTTTGCCACAAATTCTAGTGGAATGTATCTGTGAATAGATATATAATAAAGAACTGGAACTTTTGTAAAGAAGACGTTGAGTGCAGCCCATTTTTGTATATATATGCCCAGGACTGGCACTCTGCATTGAGGATTGTGAGCCAGAGTGCTTGCATGAAAATGCCTGAAAGCAATGATTGTACTCACCAAAACAACTACATTAAGCAGTAGTTGTTCTGGTGACTATAGTGTCCCTTTAATTTTTGGTGGCAAATTCTATAACAATTTTTATATTTAGATTAGATTTATATTTAGATTTAGGAAAACAAACTATCTTCAAATGGCAAATTATTGATAGACTCACCGATGGACTTTTGGGATGACTGTTGAGCAGCCGTGTAGTGCAAGTACACTAGAAATGGA